CCTCTCCAAATCACTGAGAAACTATGATATCGGTTTGAAGATTAAGGTGTGCCTGATTCATGCCATGGTCCTTTCAATCACTTGCTCTGCATATGAGGATTGGACAATATAGTGATGACCAAAGAAGAATTGATGTCTTTGACTTGTGGTATTAGAGAAGAGCATTGGATATCCTATGGACTGTCAAAAAACTAACATATGTCTTGGAAAAAGTGCAGGCAGAGTACTCCTTGAAGGCACGGATGGCAAAGCTTTCTCTCACATATTTTGGGCATGTTGCTAGAAAAGACTGTTCCTCTGAAAGGAAATCATGCTTGGAAACGTTGAGGGTCAAAGAAAGACAGGAAGGCCTTCAATGAGATGGATCGACATAGTAACCACAGCAATGGGTCCAAATATGTCAGAGATGATGAGGATGGCACCAGAGAAGACGGAGTTCAGGTCTGTTGTTCATAGGGTCACCACGAGTCATACATAACTCAAAGGCACCTAACAACAACTGGTAGTGTAGTGTGTTACGTGTTGGGCTGATAACAGAAGGTCAGGGATTCAAATCCGCCATCCCATCTCCCGGGGAAGGATGAGGCGGTATGCTCCAGTAAAGATTTGTAGCATCTGAAAACCTCTGGGCACATTTACTCTGTCCTACAGGGTTGCCCGGAGTTCTCAGCAGTGGGCTTGTTTTGCTTTGTTTTACTTCCTTTTGAAAGAAGTACTAGTAGCTAGTGGCTAAAGCATTAGGATATCAAAAGGTCAGCGGTTCAAACCCTCCAGCTGCTCCAAGAGAGAAACTGAGTCCATCGGCTTCCATAAAGACAACGTTGAGAGCCTAAAATGTAGCGTACAAGATGTGACTCTAACATCTCAGATTGCTATGAATCAGAATAGACTCAGAGGCAGTGGGTTTACCGTCTTTCGTTAGCAGCCCTGGTGGCACAGTGGGTCGCAGCAACAAGCTGAAAGGCTGGTGGTTGGCAAAGCTCTGCCTCTTCCTCCCGGTCTGTTAAGTTTCCTGTCCCAGTTAACTGATAGTCTTGTAGTTTGTTTTGCGGTGAGTTTTTCAGTCTGTCTGTGAATATGAACCTGGGGGCGGGCTTTCCCTTTAGGGAACAAGCCCTAACAATGGGTGAGTCACCAGCCAGGAGACTGAAAAACACCGAAGACCCTCTGAGGTAGGGGCAATATGGAGGTAAGAGGGAATCCCAGGAGCCTTTGGCATTCTTGCATAGTCCCTTAGCTCAGTGGCCGGAGGAGTGGGGACCTGAGCGTGAGAACAGGGACTTTCTTGAAAATGCTCCTTTTTAGTTAGAACTCCTGCAGAATGTATGAGCCGGGCAGGCCAAGAAAGGCCCTTGAGTCGCCTCTGGTGACTGCAGGAATCTGGCTGATTTCTGTGTGGTTAGGTGGTTAGATCCATGACTGCAACGGAGAGAGCTGCGTGGACTGGGCCCCGCAAGCTGCAGGAAGAAGGAATCGCAGCCAGAAAGCTTGTCTCCCACTTGCTAACATCTGACCAAGTGGTGGAGGCTTTAGCAAGCCATCTCGGTAAAGCGAAGAGAAGGTGCTGGCTTCACCAGAGAGCTCAGAACAAGGTGAAGCTGTTCAAACAGGTGAAGAGCTCAGAACAAGGTGAAGCTGTTTAAACAGGTGAGGTCCGCACGCATTGAGGGGAGGATCAAACCCAAAAGCTGGTCATCTGCTGGAACATTCATGGTTCCACTTGTGCCCCCCACACACACACACCCACTGGAGCTTTGCTAGGGGAGATGGCAGAGAGAGAGGGAAGGAGGAACAAACAGTTCCTGCTGGACTTCTGGCAAGGCAGGACCCGCAGCAGGACTGGGTGAGGGTCAGCAGTGAAGGTGCCTCCCCCACAGTACACCCATCTCCCCACCCTTGCCCTGGTCACCCCCTACTCAGCTCCAGCAGGAAGGCGTCTCTGGAGGTGGGGTCAAGGTTCCTGCAGTGTTCTGGTAAAGCAACTAGCAGGAGACTGAGGCTCTGCATTAAACCCTTTCTACGTTAGTCTTACCAGGCTGTTTTAGTGCTGGTAGATCCAAGGGTTAATTGCATAATAGGTGGCATGCCGACCTCCCCAACAAGGTAGCCTTCTGTCAACCAGCCCGCTGAGTGATGGACTCCACCAGAATTTTAGACTCCCGCGTGATTAACCTTCTCTGAAGACCCACTGTAAGGTAAGTTAAGGGTCGGTTCCAACTCGACAGTATAAAACAACAACAACATATATGTGACAACTGATGATACAGTCACTCCCGCTGTCCAGGGGCCATATTTACTGTAGGAGCCACATTACTGAAGGCACAAGGCCAACACCAGAAGATGCATGCTAGACTGATAGGGCCAGACAGAGGAATCCTCCAAGATGGACAGCGGAGGCTTTCCAACTCTCCACGGATAGGATGTAGATGGATGGAACATGGTGATGGGCAGAGTAGCCAGGGGTCTGAGCTCAGAGCTATGTGGATGGTTTTGAAACAAGAACTCCACCCTATTACCCTGAGCACAGAGTTGAGTTGTCTTCAGAAGATTTACTTTATGGTTCGCCTCATGGAAACAACAAAAGTGAATGATCAGTCACTGAGCCGCCTTAGGTAAGAAGCTGTGGAAAGACATATGGACAAGACACATGGTTTGACTGTTTTTCCATGTATCTGCACATAGTACTTCATCTCCTCCTGGGAATGATCAGGCAGACAAGGTGTTGCCCCAGCTTGGACAATCGAATAATGTGTTCTGTTGCCCTTACCACAGGTCTTTCCCCAGGAGAGACAGTTGTGGTCGTCCTGTGGAGCTGACCAAGTAACCCCCTCTCCACAACTCCCCCTCCCCAATGGTTTGCCTTTTTGGCTTCTTGGGGATTAGGACTAGAGATGGGTTTGCAAACTACCCCATGGCTTTTGTCAACAACCCCTAAATCTCTCCTCATCTATTGTTCCAGTGAGGACACCACACCTCAGGGTCCCTTATTCTAAGTTTACAGAGAATCTCTGGATCCTCCATGGAGTTATGGAGTTTCTCTGTTAAATTATCCTGGCATTAACAACTCAGAAAAACCTTCAGGACAAAAGGTGTGGTACTGGAAGCCTGGGCAACACTGTTAGCTCATCTGATTCGACGGCTTATGTTTTGATTGATAGATATGACTTGACCTTTTTGGTACCTATGACTGCTCCATCTTTTTACCTATGGTGAGGAAGAGAATGTTTTTTCCAGAGGGACTGCTATGATTGCTGACGTGAGCAATGGCGGATCAGAGTGTTGGGTGTGCTCAGAGCTCCCTACATCTCCAGCCATAGGATTCCCACAGAAGATCGCCTCCGCTAATGACAGCGCCTGGGCCTGCCTGAAAAAGGGGCAAAATCCAGATGAATCCATTCTGACCTCTTTCTTTACTCCCCAGGTACACTGTTCTGTGCATTTTTCTACCTGGGAATAAACCCAACAACAGGTTTTTCAGATGATCTGGGTGTAAATAAATGCCACTCCCCAACAGGGATATGCAGTGTGAAACGGCCATGGGGTGGCTGTCATTGGTGTCTGTGTAATTAGCACAGACTGTCACTTGGTGCATTGAAAGAGCTAGTCTAGGCCAGCTCTGGTGGCCTAGTGGCAAGAAGTTGCACTGCAATCCCAGAGGTATGCGGTTCAAATCCACCAGATTCTCTGCTGGAGAAGGAAGACAATCTCCTCCTGTACCAGTCAGATCTGATTTGATGGTACACATGCACACAAATAATAAAATAAGATTTTAAAAAATTCTAAAGGAAAAAAAGCACAAAACAAAGTGCTAGCCTAGGTGATGACCTCCACGTGGGGAGATGATGCAGAGTCCTGCATGCAGTTTCATCCTTGATAGTACCAGCTGGCGAAGCCACCAAAAGCCTCTCCACACACAGAAGCTTTCCCTTCTCCCTGGGACTGGCTATGGGCCTGTGGGCCACATGCTTGCCCCTACTGCCTGTTAAGTTAGCAGACTTCAGGAAGAAATCAGAGAGAATGAGAGAAAGCTTAATGCAGCTTTATTAAAGTGGGGGATAGGGGAGCTCCTGGGTGAAGTTCCTCATTCTGGGAATGTAAAATGGGGAAATCACACTGTGAACTTACTCAGGAGGGTTTTTATAGCAGAGTCCTTAGGGAGGGACATTTCACTCTGATTCCCAATCCACCTGCTAGCTCAGTCAGGCAGGCAAGGCAGTTTGCCCTTCTTAGCAGCAGCAGGCAAGGCCGTCAGTGTTTGAATGCTTCATTCTTCTCTTTGGCCCCCTTTGTCCAGACTTAACACTAGCCTTACAAGGGGACTGGCAGATGCACCTGGGAGCATCCCTGCCTACCTAGCACCATCTATAAAGAATTTACCCACTAAGCCTAGAAATTGAGATGCTGTGCACAGCAGATACCACCAACGATGGTGCATCTCAGGATGGTTTTAGCCACTGGCTAGTTTCACTCCTCGGAGCTGCCACGATTGATGTGGAGCGGCAAGTCGAGGCCTTAGCAAAACGTGCTGCAGCTGCCCTAAATCAGATACATATCATATCCTCACTGTACCAGTTGCTGAAACAGAACAAATGGATGAGGTAATGGTATGAGATAGCATGGCTGCTATTAGAGAGTCTGCTGCCCAAGGAGGACCTTGTGCTTTATTTAATTCATACCAAGTGCTGTGTGTATTTTCCTGATTTGAAGCACTATGGTACTATAGCTCTACAACAGATGGAAGGGCAGGTATCTGCTCTTCAGCGATCATCTGAACATTCTTCTTCCCAAAGGCCGACATCCTTTCTTCAGCCTGTTCTCTATCCTTTGTACTCCACAGTGGGCTTACTGTGCTTGAGGGGCACACTTTGCTGTGGCCATAATTGTGATGGTCTGTATTGCACCTCTCCAACACCTCGGCTCGAGGGATATCACAAAAGACTGGCGGAGAGATTGCAAGAGCCATTTAGGGCCCTGGGATGGAACGTATGGCCTACCAATACCTTAAATGCCCCAACATGGCGACATTTACGGTAAGCTAGCTGAGTTTTGTGAGGCCTGTTTTCACCTGTGAGACCTGTTTTTCCAGTCAACTTGTTTTTCTGGTTTCTTCCCAGAATTAAGACAAAGTAACCATTCGCCCTATTGTTTTTAGGCATGCTTACAGAACTAGATATACATTTCCTTTAAACGAAGCTTGTGTACTGCTTGTACTTCCCATCAGCCTGGCCAGTTCTTAACTTGGCTGTGTGTTGGGAGTCGTTTGTGTAAGGTTATAGAATAGCTACCTGCCTTCCTCGTCTTCAGCAGTTCACTCTCTGGCCCACGGCCACTGGAATTTGTGTAGAGCTGCGTCTTCCTTCCGGTCACTCAAGTCCCTGTTCTGATAAACTAATGTCTTTCAGTTTGCCTCCGGCTTAGTTATTGAGTCTATCTATTAACATGAACCTGGAGGGAGTTTCCCTCTGGTCAACAAGCCCCGACATTCACCCACTGGTCCTTCTTCCTATTTTTTTTTTCCTAAAATTGTGATCTAAGGGGGAAATCTACAAAGCTGCTTACTTCTTATTCATACAATTTTTTGCTTTAGGACATTAATTACAAATATCAATTACAATACCCACCATGTAACTGCACTTTCCCCACTTCCTCTCTGTGATTCTCATTTCCATTATCCTATCTATCCTACCACTCCTGTTTTTATGGCTTTACCTTTGGGCAAATGCTGCTCTTTCAATCTCATGTCCTGGTTATTTTAGAGAGTGTGTGTTACCCTGGTGTTACTGGTCACCATATGCTGGTGGTGGTGGTGATGCTGTCAAGTAAGTACAACCTATAGTAATCCTGAGAACAACTGATCTGAACCCTGTCCTATCCTGTGTTGTCCTCACAATCTCTGACACACTCAAGTCCATTGCTGCAGTCAGTGTCAATCCATCTAGTTGAGAGTCTTCCTCTCTTTCACTGACCCTCAATCTTCCCAAGTATAATGTCCTTGTCCAAGGAATAACCTCTTCTAGGAACGTGTCTAAAGTATGTGAGATGAAGCTTCATCGTCTTTGTCCCAAGGAGCACGCTGGCTGCACCTTTTCCAGGATATATTAATTTATTCTTTTGGTAATCCATAGGATATTCAGGATTCTTCTCCAACACCACAGTTCAAAGGTATCAATTCTTTTTTTGGTCATACTTAATCAGCTTTTGCAGCTCTCAGATGCATAGCAGGTGAGTGTAAAGACCACAGCCTATTGCACACCCATGTTTATCGCAGCTTTGTTCACAATAGCAAAGAGTGGGAAAGAGCCCAAGTGCCCATCAACAAACAAATGGATAGAGAAGCTGCGGTATATTCAGACAATGGAATACTACGCAGCACTGAAAAACAAAGAACTCATGAAATATTATCCAAAATAGGTGACCATGGAGGACATTATGCTGAGTGAAATTTCTCAGTTACAAAAAGACAAATACTGCATAATACCACTGTTATTGTTAATTTTTTTTACACTTTATCCAGGTTCTTCAACTGTGATTTTTTGTTTGTTTGTTTGTTCAGCAGCGGTCACCAAGTGCTATCTACTTCTTCTGATCTTAGGGTCATGAAAGATGAAGTTTTTATGATCTACCATCCTTTGGGCTACTTGCTCCTGTACATATTTTCTTCTCTTCCTTCTTCTTTGTTCCAAACAGAGAGAGACCAATAGTGACACCTTAGGTGATAGCTCTCTTGCTTTTAAGACCCAAGATCAAGGTCTCGGGCTTTAGAACTAGTAACCCCTTCCCTCAAGGCGCCATTCTCTCTTTGTCAAAAACAGCTGCCAGTGGGTGGACTGATTTATCTCTGATTTGGGTAGGAAGACCAGCAGGTTTTCTTCCTGTTGTTGTTGTTGTGTATTGTAGAGTCAGAACCGACTGATGGCTGACCCTTCAGTGGGTTTTCAGAAACAGCTAATCACACAGGAGGAGACTGCCCATCCTTCTCCCACAGAACAGCTGGGGGGCTTGAGTCACATGTCTTCAGGGTTGCAGGACAGCTTCCCGCCATTAGGCCAGTCTCCTAGAAAAAAGTTCTGCTAAAAATGTTCAATATTATGTTGTCCTTGCTGCACGACATCAATTAAGGTCCCGTTCACAGCAACTCCATGTGATAGGACAGCTTCTGCACAAGATTTTCTTGGCTATGATATGTTTTGTTTTATTTTGTTTTGTTTACTAATCAGAACTTTCTATTCTCTGTTTCAAGTCTGTCTTCCCAGTAGGTAGAGGAAACGGCAAAATGATTTTGATGAGAGCTAAGAACTGAGCACAGAAAATTACAATTTGTGGTTGATGTTAAAACAGCAGTATCATCTGTAGTGTAATTGTGGTCTGAAAGATAGAAACCAATTCATTTACGTTTCTTTCTGGACTTCAGGATCACTCTTTCTGGTCTCCCACATATTTACAGTCAACATATGATGTTTCTTAAACATTTAAACACAACACAGTTTTAAAAAGCTTAAGAAGTCTTGCCAGTGAAAAATATACAGATATTTTTAATGAGATATGTTGGTATGCATTTGTAAAACATTGTGTGTGGGTTGTTTGAACCCATCCATGGCTCTGATTGAAATATTGTTATCAGTGAGAAATGCAATCTGGGCTGTAATCTTCATAGACAATCACATCTCTAACAGAGCTGTTGGATAGATTTGAACCATCAATCTTTATACCAGCATTAAAGCATGAACCATTTGCTCCATCAGAGGACCTACAGAGGTAGGACAAGGATAGCCCGTAGCTACCTATTTATTTTATCTGGACTCACTCATACAGTCAGAAGAGGGCTGTTTAGTCCACTGAAAACAGGCAGGGGACAGAGGACAGTGTCCCTGCCCCACCAAGGGCTGACTCAGCATGTCTAGAGCTCAGTTCTTATGGAATTCTAAGGTCATCCTGAACCTCCACCCAGAGTCTGGTTCTGAACCAGTACAGGGAACCCCACTTGTTCTGGGGCTGCTGTTTCTAGAACTCCCATCACCCTCCTCTTGCCCATCTTTATTGCTGGTAATGTTCATTTTACTTGAAACCTTTCAAGTTTGTGAGTCCAGTCAGAAAAAGGAAGCCGCTACAGATAAACTATAAGGAAGGTCTGGCTAATGCCGTGTTCTCAGAACATCAGGGCTTAGTAGAGGCCAGTGATGTGTGGCTTATTCAACATGAACTCTAAGTAGAAACCTACCACCTCAGTGAGCTCAGCTGACCCACAAGAGACACGAGAGACTCTGTCTCCCGTGGGGTTTGTCTCAAGTGGTCTGGACATAAACCAGATTTTGACTCATCTGTCTGAAGTTCACAGCATACACATGCAACCAGAGGTCAAATATATCTACCACCTTCATGGGCAGATCCAGGTCACTCAAAGCCTTAGGCAGACAACCAGCCAAGTCCTCCAACTCTAGGAGCAAGGGTCAAAGAAGCCATCAGAATGATGAATAGGAAATCTCCGAAGACTGAGAGTCAGTGCCATCTGGAAATCAGACAGCACTCACTGTACCACCAGGGGCAAGCACCCACCAGACCCCAATTCAGTGACCCACTTGTCAAGTCAACCCTGATTCCCAGCAAACACAGGTGGGTCAGGACACAATAGTGCTCCATAGTGTCTATGGTGATTAGGTTTTCACATTTGAATCACCAGGTCTTTCTCCTGACAAACAGCTCCTTGCCACCAGGCAGGAAGGGGATAGAAGCCAGAAAGTGGCTGGCTCTCCTAGCATCCAGTCAGCTCTTGGCAATCGCAGCCAGCTAGCCACGTTGCCCCGCCTCTCAGGGGAACCCAACACAGGGCCCCAGCAGCCCAAGACCATTTCGTATCTATGATCCCTGAACTGAGCTTAACTTTTCATTTTATTTTTTAAAAAAAAAAGGATGTGGGAACAAGCAAGAATAAGTCATGAAGGATAATAAGCATTTACCAGTTGGTCCTTTGTAAAAGATGACAGTCATGTTTCAGAGATACTCCAAGTTCACTGATGACCACCACAACAAAACGAGTATCACAGTAAAGCTGGGCACATACATTTTTTGTGGTTTCCAAATGCTATGGGCACTATATCCTAGACCATAAAGTGTGCTGACAAATTATGAAAAAATGTGAAATATTGTGAGAATGACCAAAATGTGATACAGAGACATCAAGTGAGCACATGCTATTGGCAAAATGGCACTGATAATGGTTACCAGGGATGCAACGAGAGGGAGAGAGAAGTAAAACTCAATAAACAGGAAGAGAGGGTGAGGGTTACGAGCTTGTTTCTGGACTCCTACCACACCAGCAGTCCTCCCCTTCTCATTAGGGACCTTCATCCACACCAAGCCCTCAAGGGTACCAGGGAAAGTCCCCTAAAGATAAATCACCAGCCGGTTCCCCAGGCCCATCCCATGGAAAGAAGGACAAGTGGAAATTGAAGACACAAGGAAGGAAATAGGAAAAGTATTGTTACATGGTGGGGACCTCAATCAGTGTGACACAACCAAATGTGTGTGAATGGTTGAATAAAAAATCAATTTGCTCTGTAGAGTTTCACCGAAACCATAGTCAAAAGTAACCAAAAGAAAACAATATTTGTTTGTTGGAGGACACAGTAGTAAAGAAGACCATCTCAGTCCTTGTCTTCCTCACCCAACTTCTCTTTTTTTTATTATTATTTTATTATTTTGTGTCTACGTACCTCAAATCGGATCTGGCAGGTACAGGAGGAGATTGCCCCTCCTCCAGCAGAGCATTTGGTGGACTCAAATCTCTGGGACTGCAGTGCAGTTTCTTGCCACTCGGCCACCAGAGCTCCTTCCCACTTCTCTTCTTAACACTCCCTCCACTCTAGGATGAGGAAAGCTATTCCCGCTCCCATGCTGGGTTCTTGACGGAAGCAAATGGGAAGATGTGTACATACAGATCGTCTCCTTAGTCTTGTGGGGCATTTCAGAGGACGAGCAGGTCATAGACACCACATCAAGGTTAGAAGTTTGCCATGCGTA